ATAGTTATGCCAGAATCTCATGGTGTCATTAAATTTCACTTAGAATTGCCGCCTAATGATTTTATTAATCAGACTGGCAATTTGACACCGTTCGAATCCCATCAGCCACTTCAAACTTGGTTTGAAATCGAGTGGTGCACGTGGGGGCGATACGATACTTCTACATTAGACAGCCACAATGGGACCAAGGCAAGCCAAACCTCCCCCTTATTACATCTGTAGAGGGATTTTTGATGAGGCAAACTCGTATTTGCTATTACAATTAATTCGATTACTTATATTTACGAGAAGTTTTTTATGCTATAGATAGGATAAAGACTTTGCTAGCTTTTTGAGTTGAATCTGCTCCGTTTGCTAATACTAATGATCTGTGTCAACTGTACGCGCGCTTCATGATCGAAACAGCTGTCCACTTTGAATGTGAAAACTTTTTAAGAGGCAAGATGAAGTGAAATGTAATATTATCGTTAAATATACTTATTTCGTTGTAAGAACTATCAATACCTTGCAAAAAGTATATTTAAAATAAGAGTAATTGTTTCTATATATTCATGCAAAGACAATTTATCTTTCGAATAATCTCTAGATTTACAAATCTTGAGCTCACCTTTGTTCCAAGTTTGTGTGTAATGAAGAATTTCGAAGTTTGATCCAAAAATAAGACGATGGTGCATTTTTGCTTTATATTTCTATCTATCTAAAAAATGTTAATAAAGTTGTAAATCTAAGCAATTTTCCAGAAAACCAGAACCCTTTCCTCACTTATGCCAACTTTGAAGGGGAAAGTTTGGGCTACTGTAAAACAATGTTTTTGTGGTCGGTTTTATATTGGAGTGATCTATCAATTAATTTTATAGATAGTGACGACTGGGTTTAACCATCATAATTAGCTGAACAGAGAAAAAGTCCACATGGTGGTATATTCTCAACCTTTTCTTTTACCGATTATTATATATCTGTTGGTGGGCGCGAACTTAGACAAGCTATCGATATAAACAAATTATACAATACGTTCCTTATGAGGAATACGAGTAAGTGCTTAGGCAACAACTACTGTGCAACACGTACGGATAACACTTTCCTAGAATCATCCCTATGAACTAAGAT